GTCCAGCCCAATCGGCCGCAGCTACCAACTTGTCCTCCGCCCACACACAATANCCCCCCCCCGCCCGCCCCTAACTTACTATATAACCAACCAATCTGTCCATATTCTTTCAGTTGCAGAGACCTCTGCTTCAACCAAATTAAATCTCCATATCAGAGTGTGTGTATATATATATATATATATTCATGGCCACCCCAAGACCAGTAATTCTTGACATTATTATTCCTGCCTTTCTTCTTCTACCCCTCCTCCTCGTGGCGGTAGGTCTTTTGGGGTCGGGGGCGGAGGCTCGGGCATTCATTGTCTTCGGAGACTCGCTCGTCGACAATGGGAACAACAACTACTTGGCCACCACTGCCCGGGCCGACTCGCCCCCGTACGGAGTCGACTACCCCACCCGCCGACCCACCGGCCGCTTCTCCAACGGCCTCAACCTTCCCGACATCATTTGTATGTAACTCCCTCCCCACTCCATTTCAGAGTATTCATGGGGTTTAACTTTTTAAAAGTCAAACTTTGACCTCTTTTTTCTACAGAGTATCATTTTTTTTCTTATTTGCTAAAGGAATATAATTTTACCGCCTCTTGTTTTTAACGTAAGTTTTACATGTATAAATTTTACATAATGTTTTTAAATTATACACCAAATTTTGAATAAATTAATTTAAAAATAATTTGACTCAAATCGTAAAATGACTTTATTTATGAACGAATCGAGTTGAACCACATATTTTTCATTTTCATTTTTTAAATATTTTTAAATAGAAATATTTGCACTAAATATCACTAAAACTTAAGTCATTTTTCTAAATAGTACTTAAATTGTTTTATTCCCTAAATAGCACTTAATAATGTCTATAATGACCAGTGATGACAAACATTTACTTGAATAATGACTAATGTATAATGACTAAAAGTGCTACATTGGAAAAAAAATACATGTAGTGCTATTTAGAGAAATTCATTATGTTTTAGTGCGATTTAAGCAGGTTCTTTTTAAAAATATCGTACAAGTCAAATCAGAAACTTACTTATGAGACGTGAGGAACATGCTACTCTTCTTCTGCATAAATTCTAATTAGACACATTTCACTTTTCAACAAAAAAAATGGGACAATTTATATAGGACAAAGGGAGTATTAATGTTGTTTGTTTGTTTGTTTAAGGCGAGCGGTTGGGGTTGGCGGTGGTGGAGCCATATCTCAGTCCGGCGCTCACCGGAGAGAGGCTTTTAGACGGAGCCAACTTTGCCTCTGCCGGCGTTGGGATCCTCAATGACACTGGCTTTCAATTTGTACGTATATATATAACACTTCATTTACTCTCCCTGCACAAAAGTGTGCCCTTAACTATTAAAAGCTAGTATATTGCTTAATTATTCAGAGGCAAATATCTGATCAATTCAGATAAGAGGTTTTAACCATTTAGACTCTGTATAATACTTAACCATTCAGACTGAGACAAATCTCTTAACCATTCAGACATTTGAACCATTAAGAGGCTGAAACAAATAGTTTGAACCATTAAGTGCTGAACCATTTAGACATCTGAACCATTAAGAGGATGAAACAAACAGTGCCTGAGAGCACATGTGGTTAGTTTTGAGCATTATTTTTAAAAGATTTAATTAATTGATTTTGAAAATGTGGGGTATAAATTGGTTGCAGTTGAACATAATAAGGATAGGGACGCAACTGCAGTACTTCCAGCAGTACCAGCAGCGAGTGAGTCAACTCGTCGGAGAAGAAGGGACTCGGCAGCTGGTGAACGAGGCTCTGGTGCTCATAACCCTAGGCGGCAACGATTTCGTGAACAATTACTACCTGGTCCCCTTCTCCGCCAGATCCCGCCAGTTCTCTCTTCCCGATTACGTCCGGTACCTCATCTCCGAGTACCGCAAAGTTCTCCAGGTTGATTCCATTCCCGTACTGTTTGAATTTGAATTCCAGATCTGAATTTGATCCAGATCTGACCGAAATGTAATGCAGAGAATATATGATTTGGGAGGAAGAAGGGTTCTGGTGACGGGAACCGGGCCGATAGGGTGCGCGCCGTCGGAGCTGGCGCAGAGGAGCCCGACGGGGGCATGCGCGGTGGAGTTGCAGAGGGCGGCGGCGTTGTTCAACCCGCAGTTGCTCCAGATGATTGCGGACCTCAACGCCCAGCTGGGCTCTAATGTCTTCATTGCCGCCAACACTTACCAAATGAACATTGACTTCATCACCAACCCCGCTGCATATGGTATGTATTACTCCGCATATATTACTACTAGGACTACTCCCTAGCTATTATGTTTCTGAAAAATTTAGTATATATCTAATCCGTAATCTAAAATGACACCAGTCCTTTTTTTACACCAGTTCGTTTAGGGTGCTTACTGTACTCCGTTTGTAAAAATGATAGTTCCTAACCCCTCTAATTCTCCCCTAAACCCCCACCTCGGCACCCCAACCCAGCCCCCCTCCCTACCCTAGCAAGGGTGGGGGTTTAGGGAGAGGGGCTGGGGTGGGGGGCAAGGTTGGGGTTGGTAGGGAGTTTAGAGGTGGTAGGAACCGTCATTTTTACAAACGAAGCATTATAGGTACCCCAAACGAACTAGTGTAAGCAACTGGTGTATAAGTAACTAGTGTTTTTTTAGACGCTCTCATACCTAATTTGTATGCAAAAAACTAATGTATCCCTGGGTGATATAAGAGTATATCTCAAGTGTCACCACCTTCTCAGAAGAAGGCATTCACAGTTTGTGTGAAACACAGACAAGTGTGTGTATGTGAGAAAGTGGTGTACACTTCAGGTACACTGCCTTGAGATACAGCCAACAAATCTCAATTTGTATTTAAATTTGCATACTAAGTGTAACACAGACACACACACAGAAAAATTCTCTGTGAATTTCACAGATAATTAATAGCATGTGTGTATCTATGACATACTTGACGTGCAAGTTAGGATAAAAACTTGATATACCTCTAGCACACTTCTATATTTCTATTTGGGCCAAAGATTTTTCACATCCAACATAGGTGTCATGTAACTTTTCCATGTGTACCCTTGAATGAATAATACGGAATATTAAACAAAGCGAATAATATAGATGAAAAGTGATAATTTGATAGCTAATCACTCAAAATGGAACATTAACTTTGATATTTAAGGCCTTTTTTTTTGTCATAAACGGAGTTTTTTTTTCAAAAAAAAAATATGAACCATCCATGAAGACAAAGAAGAAAGAAAATCTAAACGAAGGAGATGTTTGAACAGGATTTGTGACATCGCAAATAGCATGCTGTGGGCAAGGCCCATTCAACGGAATTGGGCTGTGCACGCCAGTGTCCAACCTGTGTCCGGACCGAAGTCTGTTTGCGTTTTGGGATGGGTTTCATCCGACGGAAAAGGCCAACAGGATTATCGTGGACCAGATCCTCGCCGGCACATCCGAGTACATGAGCCCAATGAACCTCTCCACCGTTATGGCCCTTGATTCTAGGACCTAATTTTCATCATCATTTATGCATGCCAAAAATTTCATTTTTTTTCTTTTTTTTTTGTATTTGATTGTTTTCTTTTTTCTATTGTCTTCTTGCTGGATCATCTTGTTTTGTAGTTATATATATATGTATGAATATTTATTCATGGGAAGTCAGCAATAAAAAGTGTGATATATCATTGTAATCTTTCTTTTTATTCCTTTGGAAGCAGTATATATTTTTCTTCTCTTTTGTGTCCATTCCTATATAGTGTAGGTTGATACTTCAAAATTACTTCACACACAACACACATTGTGTTGCATGTGTTACACTCTCTCCATCCAAAAAAAGCCTCTCAATTAGGTTTGGTACAAAGTTTAAGAAAAAAGTGAAAATCATGTGGTTGAAATTAAAATGATGAAAAGAAAGAAAAGATTACCCGGCAACACAAAATTTGTCAAAAATTGAAAAGATGAATCTTTTTTTGAAACGTTCCGAAAATGAAATGAGGTTTTTTTGGGGGGCATGGGAGTAGGGATAGACCATACTAATTCATTTATAAGACATTGCGAATAAATTACCACCAAATCACCAATTTGTAGTAATTTTATATGTTGTCAACTGTAATTGCTACTCATAGTTTGACTATAAATGGTTCTTTAATTTATAATATGTTGTTTTATGTACATAGTCTCCATTTTAGGAAATAACAATCATGGTCATCAATATTTGAAAACTGTTCTTTAATATATACTTCCTTTAACGTCTATATGTAGAAAACAATATTTGGATCAAAAGAGTTAGAATGGAACAATAGTCAAATTTAGAGAACCACGCACGTAATTTCTTATAATTATGAACTATATATGAAAAAGCATAATATAAGAAAACGCTATTTATGATATTTACTCTAAAAATAAATTAAACCAAAATTAAAGCATGGCAGTTTAATTTAATTTGCACTATTTTATTTGTACATTGACAAGCACGCCGACACGCAAATTATGTTTTCAACGTCGCATATATTTTGCAAACATTAGTTTGGTCTCTCTTTGTCGGTGTACAAGTTTGACGTGCAAATTTTATTTGCAATATATATTGAAATTAAATGCCTTCAATCTAATCGGCACATATATTTTACTCCATATATTCCTTTTCTTGAGTTAATAATTAAGGAAATGAAGTGCCCTCAGAAGAAATAGATATTGATTTTAATAACTGTAATTAGACATGTTTCAGGTCTTAATTTAGAATTTGACTGCGTTTTCACGTTTTCATAAATAAGTATTAATGAAGATTTATACGGGGTAGAAATTTTGTGGTACGGTATAAATACAAAAAGACAAATAAAAATAAAAAAAAATGGATAGTAGCTTAGGAGTTTCTTACTCCCTTTAAAATTTGCAAAAGTGAACTATAGCCACTGATGAGTGTATTTCACCCAAGACCAGTCAAAGGAGGAGGTCAAATCCTTGACCGGTCAATCTCGAAAGTTTTCGAAGGGAGACTTAAATCGTCAGCAAAACGATATATCATCGGCCAAAATTTGACCGGTACACTTCACAAAAAGTATACCGGTCAAACTACGTTATCATCCAATTTATTCCAGACTTCAATGAATTCACCTCCCGGAGATTACCCGGTGTAGTTTCTGAGGTTGGAAAGTGTCGACAGAGGAGGATCTGCGAGGGCTTGGCGTGTAGCGACCCGTGTCAGTAGAGGACAACTGGAGATGCTGGAGAATCCATCCAAGGCACTACTTGACAAAGGGAATGATCCCCTTCACAAGGCGACAAGGCAGCTTGAGGACAAAACCAGTCACCTCGCACCACATCAGCAGCATGCCCCCACGTGGGCGCACGTGGACCTGTCCCCTTAGCCTAGTATAAATACTCATGTAAACCTCAGAAAGGGGGGGCGAATTCACTCTCTCTAAACTCCCTTGTAAAAGCACCCGTGCATTCTCCGTTATAACATAAATTGGGCTACAGGTGTTCCACCTAAAGTCCTACCGGTCAATTTGCGTGTTTTTACCTTTCTTACTTTGCCAAATCAAGCGAACTATTCTAGACCCGGTCTAGTATAGTTTGACCGGTCAAGTAATTTACACCATCATTTTTGGCGCCGACCGTGGGACCGTTAAGGTTTCTTCTCCTAAACACAAACCTACCCACCAAAACACCACTCGAAATGTCTTCCAGCCAACAAATCAACGCTACTTCCGCTCAGGTGCAGGCCACCAACGAGGGAGCCAGCATCCCTGTGGCTGCTACCATACCGGTCATTTCAGCCCCGGTGTTGCCTCTGGGTCTGAGCTCTGTC